ATTGTGTCTGTGGTGGGGTGTGGGGGTCTGCATGTGTGTTTTTCTTTATGGGAGAATGTATAGGAGTGTAGTGCAAACAGAGTCCAGAGGTATTAGATCTCCATGTGTAAGACCGCCAGAAAGCTCAAGCTTCCAGGATCTTAGCCCAGGACCACGGCCACCCCCATCACCAGGCTGAGTCGAAAGCTTGATGCAAACTGCATGAGGCTTTATTGTTGTTTAACGAGCTAACCCCATGTTAGCTCGGCCTTTCACCCACCCGCCATGGCGAATGGCTAGCAAAAACAGTTCGAAGCGGCTGCATAGAGATCTTATAGGGCAGCGTAAGGGGAGTGTCTAGGGGTACGCAAAGGCTCAGGATTGGTGTGCCTCCAGGCTTGAAGGGTTTACCCGGTGTTGATTGGTCAACTGGTTGTCATGGCCCATAGGCCCTTCCAGGGTGATTGCTATGCTCTGCGCGTCATTGCTGTGCGCTTGTCCGTAAAGCACACCCAGAGCCATAAAGCATAGCACCACCAGCTAACTTCTGATTGGTTCCTTGCCACGAGGCAGGCACCTAACCTCTAGTGACCAAGGCAAGATCAGAAAAGCATGTGTCTGGCTGTTATGGCTGCTGAAATGGGGAGCTGGTCCCTTCACATGGAGCTACAGTTACAGGAAGTTGTGAGCCACCTTACTTGGGTGCTTGGAACCAAACTCGGGTCCTCTGTAAGAGCAATGTGCCCTTAACCACAGAGCCATCTCTCCAGGTCCTGGTGTCTTGTTTTATGAGTCACAACATGATAATCATGGTCCATAAAACTTGCCAAAAACCCCATTGGTCAAGGCCAAGAATGGACTATGTTGTAAAGGACAGACAATGATGGTGTGTTAGTTCATCTTGCCTAACAAAGGTGCCACTCTAGTGGAGGTCTGGTGGTGGGGTGGGAGAGCTCTGCTTATGTAGGTATAGAAGCATTTGGGAAAGGAACCCTCCATTCTATTTTGTTGTGCACTGAAAACAGCTGTAAAGAACAACCTCTACTTTATCCTCAGTGTGCTTACTCTTCAGAGTTTCTGAACCTTTCAGTTCTTTCAACAGCTTCAAGACAAAGGCATTTCCTCTAAGTTTCCACCATACACTTTCTTCCAGGTATCTGTGAAACAATTGTTACTTATTGTGTTTGCATCTTTAATTTTCCTATTGGTCATGTCCCTTTCCAAAACCCTCAAGGGGCAGATGATATCAGGGACTTTGCTGCAATGGGTTTCTTTCTTGTATCATCACAAGATAGAAAAGCACAAAAGAGAATTTGAGAACCAATATATAATGGCCTTTTGTTAACTGCCTTTGGTTTAAGTTGGGGTCTGGAAATGACAATTAATGTCACTGAAGTTTCAAAGTTCCGATAGTCCTCTTTGTTCTATTGCGTGCTCATAGGGTATAAATCATTAAATTTTAGATTGGTTTGGGATACTCAGAACATTCTATCATGAAAACATGATTTCAAATAGTAACTAATTTTCTATCAATTCATAAATAAATATTACCTAGTAGGAACAGAATCTCACCTAAAAGCAAGACAGTAATAGTCTGAGGCAAGACTGGCTTCAAGCTCTCCAAGAAAAGATGTGAAGAGATAGAACGGTACCGAGGGGGTCCTGGGAACTGGAGAAGGATGAGACAGGGAAGCAGGGCTGGAGATGGAGGATGGGTTCATCGGTCTCTAAAAGGTGGTATGGTGGCAATTGGATCTAATGCTGAGCTGAGTAAGAAAGCTGCATGGCGAGGCTCTGGTGAAGGATGGAACCTAGGGAGAATGTGCTGCTGCATTTCTCCTCTTACCCTCATCACTTCCCAGGACACTGAGTAAAAGGCACAGCCTTGCCCTGGCTGCTCAAGATGCTTCCACTGTGGAGGAGAGGAAAAACTATTAGAAAAGAAGTAGAATTTACCTCAAATCATTCCAGCAGGGGAAAGAGCTGGCAAGGTGTGTGTGTGTGTGTGTGTGTGTGTGTGTGTGTGTGTGATGTCTCCCCTCCCCTGGCTCCGCCCCAGGCTAAACTCCATCATCTTTCAGTTGGATAGCTATAATCTCCTCAGTAGCAGCCTAGCCCCCCACTCTCACCCTCTGAGATCTGTGGCCCAGCCCCAGCAGCCAGAAGAATGTTAGGAAGGCACAAGTCGTCGCCGGCTGCAGCACCAGGTCCACCTTCTGTTTCCCTTGCATTTTAAATAAAGGTCAAAGTCTTCTCTTTGTCTGCCTCCGCAGCCCCAGCTCAAGGCATGCATGCCTGCTCACTGCTCCACCACAACCTCCATAAGGTACCTGGTTCTCAGCCTAAACCCACTCCCTTCCCCACTCACCCCTGCCACCTCCTGTTCCACCTGATTCGCCTCTTCATTCTGCTCTCAGCTTACTCAGACAGTTTCTCAGAGGCCTGCTATGCAGATCGGAGCAGTCAGTGTCCATGACAGCACGCATTTCATTTCATTGTGTACCTCTCAGTTTGGAACTATTTATTGACCTCTTCAGATGTATTCTTCCAACAGACAGCACAGTCTTGCCAGGGTCTCACACTTAGGAACATCCACTACAAAAGGAACATAGGGCATGTGCTTCTAGACACCCTCACACCAGGGAAGCCTTGATTCCAAGTCCATGGCAAAGATAACACTAAATTCTTGATCAAAAAAATAATAAAATCTGAAAGCTTTCTATAGAAGACAGTAATAGAACTGAAGCAAAAATATTAACATACTTTCATTAAGAGGGGCTGAGGAAAAACAACCCTGTACAATAGAGGAACTTCTGGAGGCATCACCATCCCTAACTTTAAGCTCTATTACAGAGCTATAGTCCTGAAAATAGCTTGGTATTGGCACAAAAATAGACAGGTAGACCAATGGAATAGAGTTGAAAACCCTGATATTAACCCACACACCTAAGAACAACTGATTTTTGACAAACAATCCAAATTTATATGCTGGAACAAAGAGAACATCTTCAACAAATGGTGCTGGCATAACTGGATGCAAACATGTAGAAAACTACAGATAGATCCAAGCCTTTCGCCCTGCACAAAACTTAAGTCAAAAATAGATCAAAGACCTCAACATAAACCCAGCGACACTGAACCTACTAGAAGATAAAGTGGGAAATACCCTTGAATTAATCGGTACAGGAGACTGCTTCCTAAACATAATACCAGTAGCACAGACACCGAGATCAACAATTAATAAATGGGACCTCCTGAAACTGAGAAGCTTCTGTAAGGCAAAGGACATAGTCAGCAAGACAAAACGACAGCCCACACACTGGGAAAAGATATTCACCAGGCCCACATCTGACAGAGGGCTGATCTCCAAAATATACAAAGAACTCAAGAAGCTATTCTCCAAAGCACCAAACAATCCAATTAAAAAATGGGGTACAGAACTAAATAGACAATTCTCAATAGAGGAATCTAAAATGGCTGAAAGACACATAAGAAAGTGTTCAACATCCTTAGCCATCAGGGAAATGCAAATCAAAACAACTCTGAGATACCATCTTACTCCTGTCAGAGTAGCTAAAATCAAAACACCAATGACAGTTTATGCTGGTGAGGATGCAGAGAAAGAGAAACACTCCTCTACTGCTGGTGGGAGTGCCAACTTGTACAGCCACTTTGGAAATTAGTATGGTGACTCCTCAAGAAAATGGGAATGAGTCTACCACAAGATCAAGCAATTACACTCCTAGGCATATACCCAAAAGAAGCACATTCATATAACAAGGACATCTGTTCAACCATGTTCATAGCAGCATTATTTGTAATAGCAGGAAACTGCAAGCAGCCTAGATGGCAAAAAGACAAACATGATATGTACTTATGTGGACCTGCTTTATGATACATAGTAGTGACCATGCTTTATCAGAGCTGTTTTTAATGATGCTGCTCAGATG